TATATATATATATATTTACATTATTCTTCATTTTGTATATTTTTTCATCTCAGTTGTAATCCCTGTGAACTTTCCACCATTTCACCCACGTGCCATCACCATAGTCCTATGTGCTTTTCCCAACCCTGTTTTGCTCTTGTCCCCCTCTCCTCTCCTGTAGAATGTTTCTGGTCTATAGTTGTTAGTTAATAGAGCTGTTTATTGCTGCTCTATTTATAATAGGGAAGCTGTAGAATCAACTCAAATGCCCAAAAATTGATGACTGGCTCAAGTAGTTGTGGTATGTGTACACAATGGAATGTTACTCAGCAAGCAAAAGATTAATTTATGCCTTTTTGTGGCAACAAGGATGGGACTGATGCCCTTTAAATTTCCATTAGTTTCAGAGTTATTCTTAATATTAGTGATTCATTTCACAGGAGGACTACATCTGTTTATAATAAGAAGAAATGAGAATTCTTTTATCAGGCAATTTATATATGTGGAAGAGGAATATTTAGTTCCATTTCCTCCAGTTATACACATTGTGTAAGTTGAATAGTTTACCTTGTAGATTTGGAGAAAAGGTTTCAAACTTAATATTGTTTCTTCTATATGTTTAATGTAAATACACAACTCATTTTACTCTTACTTTTTTGTTATTTGAGACATGCATTAATCTAACAAGATGTATGGCTTACCGAACTATTTTGGGTCTCTTGTTTCTTGACCTCCCATCAACATTTGGCCTTGCTGAATATTCCTTCTTTCCAGAAACAGTTTTCTTAGTTGGCTTCATGTTGCCAAACACTCTAGATTACACTTCTATGTCTTTTTCCATCTTCCTTTACGATTACAAGGCTTTGAATACTGAAACTCCTCTAAGTAACAGCCTTAGCTTTGTAACCTCACTCTATATATTTCCCTTAGGCAGTCTGCTCTACCTTTAAGAGTTTAATTATGTCCTTATGATGGTTATTTCAAGGGTAGTTTTCTTTGTTCCAGAATTCTTCTCTGAGTATAAGACCCATTTTGCTAGATGCTTACTTTATATTTCCACCTGACTATTTCAAAGGCAATTTCAAATCATTGAATATTGAATTCATTCAGTATATGTTTCTCTGTCAAATGGTCACTTTATCCTTTTATACCATTGAAC